GAAAGTAGCTTTTAAAGAAGAATTATAGTCTGTCTTCTGAATGATAAAGCAGTTTAACTAGCATTAAACACAGCTGAAATTTTGTAATGACCAAACCTCAGCTCATCCAAATCCCCAATAGCATTAACTCCCTAGAATTGAACTGTAAATTTGATTAGCCTTACAATAGACATGAGACACAAATGTTCTTCCTTATACAGTCATATTAAGTGGCTGCAAAAGAAGATGACAAGGTATTGTAGAGCAGTGCATCCAACCTTTTTAAGCTAGAGACAAGCTCCAGTTCACCCAGCTTTCAAAACCAAATAAATACAGGGCGATTTCATGAATTCTGATATAACATGAGGATTACGTATGGTGAGGTGAGATTTAGCAGCTGCAGTCTTCCTGTAGATCATCCAGAAGATTTTTTTCATAGTCTAGTTCTTTGGATTGACATTTTCCTTGTAAACTACGTTGCTGAACCATAGCTTCTCTCCTTGCCTATATAATATGGTGCCTTTTTTATATATTTTCGTTATTCATGCACTGTCCTCTGATGTCAAATTTGATATCCTGTAATTCCTGGTGTGTTAATACTTTGCATGGAGTTAATCAGAGGATGGGATGAAAAATTTCCTTTACACAAGCTAAAGGTTTTGGAGGCATCCTAGGGTGGGTTTTTAAGAGTTCAGAGTCTGGGACTGGAAGGAACTGGAAGGCCTAAAAGATTTCTGGGTCCAAAGAATTGCAGCAGCTCCTCTCTCTGAGCTGAGGGTGTGGGCCACAGCACGATTTCCCGTGCTCCCTGCATGTGGCTGTCACAGCCAGTGCCACCTGCAAGTCTGCTCCAGGGATGCAGTGCCACACGGGATCGTGGCTCAGCCTGCCTCATCCCAAGGCTGGGAAGCCCATTCCTGCCCGCAGGACAGGGAAGGAGCTGTGCACAGAGGGTGCCATCCCGGCTCTCAAGCCAGCCACCACGCATCTGGTGATCCAAGAGTACATTTCTCCTGCCAGGCCATGAGTTGCATAGATATGCACTTTTTTTATTAATTTATTGTGGGTTTAATTTCTTTTACTAGATTGTTTCGGTAACACTTTCCTGGCATACCTTTATACTCCTATTCCCTGGTAATTGTTGTCATTTGGACACAGTCCTGTTTAGAGGACAAATTCTGAAACTAACCCTGACTTCATTGATGAATCATGCTACTTCTTTAAGGGAAAAAAAAAAAGTAAAAATTAAAGCAGTTTAATAGTTACAGAAACAAATTTCTAGCATCAAGAGCAAAACCACAGATCTATACAAATGGAAAATAAGAAATTTTTTTTGGTAGTGAGAAATGGAAACAAAAGAAAAATGTTGCTTTGAATTTTGAGATCCAGTTTTCCTTTTCATCTCTTAATTAGATAGATTATGCAGCGGTTGTTTTATAAATACATATTTGGCCTTACTAATGGATATTTCTCAATAATCCTTAAACAGTGCAGCCCAGCTGAGCACCAGGTGGTGCTCAGCCATGTGCTACCTAGCTTAGGGGGGTAAGAGGAGACCATTGTTTCTTCCTCATACTTGGTATTTTGTAGGATTCTTCCTCATATTTTGTGATATTTTGTAAGACTTGGGCACTATAACAGAGGCTTGTGCATGTTGGGAGTTAAATCTTTTAATTGTTCTAATTAAGATGCTTCAATTTATCTTGTAATCTCTGTGTTATGTTCTGTCACGGTGAATTACGTGGTAGCGGTGACTCATGAAGTGTTGAGAGCTGTGTCTCCTTGGACCTGCTGGCTGGAGCTGCCCACACAGATGCAGGGAGAGGCCAGTGGCATTTCTGGAGCTCACACACGCTGTCCTTACACCCTGTGGCACAAATGCAGCGTGCTGCTTCAAACTGGCCAGTGCGCCCCTGGTTGGGTGGCTCTGGTCTGAGGTTTCAATTTCCCTCCTCACCAGCTGTCCTGGCTTCCCAAACAAAGCAGTTGTGCCTCCTGATGGCTTTATGGCTTCACAGCAGCTGCTAAAATAAGCCAGTTCTTCAAACACCTATTGAAGTGTCCTTTTTAAAGTCCTCGTAAATATCTACGTGTGACACACCTCCAGACTCTGACAGAGATGTGAAATAGCTGAGCCTCGCTGTCAGTAACTATTTTTCTATTCCTTGAAATAAATTCCTTGCTCTCAAATAAGCAAGTGGCTTTCCCAAACTGTGGCTTTGGTTTTTTATTCAATACTGTTTTAACCAACAAAACACACAGCCACACTGAGAAAAACCAATGTCATTGCTGTAATTACTGAAAGTACCTTTTAGTAGTGTTTGCTTGGCAGCTGGCTGTGGATGCAGCTGGTCCTGCTCATGCTACAGCAAGCAAGGACCTCTCTTTGCTTCCACAGTCCTGCGTCATACAGGCAGATACCAATGGAGGGAGACCCTGGCTTGGAGGAAACACCTGAGATGATTGATAGTTGATTCTCAGGTCACTCAGCAGGAATTTACACACCTACAACATAAAGCTTTGTAGACCTCAGACATCTTACAGGCCATCACCTCCACTCTTTCAACTACCAAACAAAACACCACAGAGGCTTGAACGTATGGATAAATAATCAGCCCAGTTCTTTACATTAGTGGACTTGAACAGATTTCCACACCTTATCAAGAGTGCCTCTCACTGATTCTCTCACCCCAAAGGAAAGGAGAACCCTCCCATGCTGGGAGGAGCTGGGCGGAAGAGCCTGTGCCTTCCTAAGCCTTGTAAAGATGTATGTTGTTGAAATACTTACTTGATCCTAGAAGGAGATATAGATGAAACCCCACACCAGGAAACCAAACATTCTAATTATCATCCAGGTTTGGAGATGATGATGTGATCCTCAGTACCCTTGCAGTATACCAAGGAAATCAATTTACAGCTCTCAATGTGAAAGACATGCTGTTGCAGAAACATTCATCCTGCACATAAAAAATCTTCCAGATTTGAACTAGATAACTTTACTACAGCACATCACTGTTCACTGACTCATACAAGGTTTTATAAAGATCTCAGAGCCATCACTTTAAATACACACTAGACCTCAATAAGAACTTGCTGCATTCCAGATCATAATGCTGTGATATTCCTGCAACCCTTCCCAGCCAGATGCCTCAGAGGCCAAACCCCACCCTCCCCTACAAGCATGAAAACCAGGATATGCTGCAAATTTTGCTTCAAAGTTTAACCCTTAGTCTCCATTTCTCCATGAGTCTGTGGAAGTGTTTCTTTGGGCAGGGGCTTGTGTCCGAGGAGGATGTGGGAATCTGCAGCAGTGCGCTCACGCTCATCCCCAGGCTACCACTGCACTACGACAAGGTTTCCCTGTCGCTATTTAGAGAAATCCTTTGCAAAGAGAAATGTTGCCCTTTCCTATTGCTCAGGTTCCCCACTTGCCCTGCAGGGCTTCTCAAACCTCATTCCAGCCACAAATAACTTTTTGCTACTTAAGCACCTGTAGACTGTTAATCTCCTACTTGCACAGGACAAAATCCCTCTGAAAATCCCCCAACAGTTTTTCTCCCTGGCTGTGGAGTTAAAGGTGATATACTTTCTAGTCCACAACTTTTAAACTCTATCTTGGACCAGATACACTTCTTCCACACATATGCATGTAAAAATAATCAAGTCCAGGCCTCAGTGACCTCCTCTGGATATATTAAGATATTAAAGGTAAGCACATGCAGTAAGTGTTTGCAAGACTGAGACTACAGGGACTTAGTGCACTGCAGTCACAGTGATAGCTTGTCTTACTAATTTAGAAGGTGAAAACTTAACATTCAAATCACAGGCTCTTCCTGAAAGTGGAGGTTATGCATGGAAAGCAAAGGAATTTTTTTTTTATTAGATATTACTCACTAATATTCAGTGAGATTGGCAGTCAGCCAATCAAATTATTTTGGCTAAGCCAGCATGTTTCCCCTATCTTATCATCAACAACCAAAGAAAAAAGCCCAGATTTACTCTGCTTGACAGAAGGCCTGACATCTTGTCCTGGGAATTTGGGTGGTTAATAGTGCAAGCACCACACTCAGATTACAACTGCACCGAGAAAGCTGATATTCATATTGTTCAATGGCACCATCTTCAGACAGCAACAAAGCTGATTATTACCTGGCTTTCACAAGAAGTCATATTCATCTGTCCTAAGTCAGGGAAAAGTGTGGTATCAGTGCCTCTGGACTTGCATGGTACAATCTCAGAACATTTACTGCTGCAGCAGAAATACCAGGAGTATGGGTTCCCCTCAAAAAAAGGGGGAAACTATAAATTTTGTCTGCTTAAATTGAGAAGAGAAAAACGTTGTCAGAAAAAGAAAAATGTTGATGAAATGCAGTCACTTACAGAAATGTCTTGTCTTGGATTTTTTTTTTTAGGAGATTGATTTATTTTGATTAATTATTTGTGGAGTAATTCATAGATCCAGACTATATCATGCAGCATTCTGGCCATAGGAATGCTCAGAAAGATCCCATAAATTAAATAACAAGCCTCAAAATTTGGAATTCACTTCTGTTGCTTTGAAAACAGTACTTGCTGCCCTAACTGCTTACACTGCTTTATGCTTTGAAACTAAAAGTACTTTTAAGAAAACAAAACAGCATTCAACCTGGTAATACAATTAGAGGTAGTCCTCTTCTTAGGTGAGAATATGAGTAGTTGTGGGAGTCTAATGCCATAAATAAATTACATCACCTGAAAGTGAGTTTTAGCCTAAAATAAAATTATCGGAACATTTTTTTTTTTTTGTGAGGTAGAGCTTTCAAAAATTGTTTCAGTTACACATTTATGAGTCATGTATAGCTAATTGCCATCCATCTCCCCCTTCATCTCCTTCCTCCCATGCTTTGAAAACAAGGCTGGTATATGTAGGCACCTTGTTCTTGCAGTTAGACCTAAGAGAACTGAACGAATGTGGATATGAAAATAGCTTTTTCATCCTCCCGAGGCTGATGTGCATTTCACGGCTTGTGTTTCCTTTTCAGCTGACCCCCTGGTTGGAAGTATTGCCACTCAGTACATGACCAACAGAGCAGAGCACGACAGAATGGCCAGACAGTGGACCAAGCGATACGCCACATAGGAACCTCCTCTAGGATTTGCTGGACCTGTGCAAGCACATTCACTAAGTGCATCAATAGCCCTTCCCTTCATTCTTATTTTTTATTCAATTTTGAACCATTTTGTGACAAAAAGTTGTCCTTACTTCCTTTTTTGTTTCGTTTCGGTTGATTTTATTTTTATTTGTTCTGGGTTTTTTTTTTTTTTGTTCTGTTAACTTGAAAGTTGTTTCCCTCAAATGTAGACAGGGAATTTTGGTTATCAGTGCAAAGAATGTTGGATCTGTAATAGTATAGAGCTTTATCAGAAAGCTTTGTATTAATGTGTGGGGTTGGTTTGTTTTGGTTTTTTTTCTTTCATGTGGTTTTGGGGAAAACAAACAAATTCAGAATTATATCTCGTTTCTACTTAAATGTAGTGTTTAGGGTTATTTTTTTGTACTGAAGTCTTTAATGGTGGGTGCATGCTACTGGGAACAAGTTTTGTATAAAAGCTTAAAATCAAGAATCACTGTGCATTACTAAGACTGTGTTTATCACTAGCCTTCTGTTTCCCACACAAAAGGCTATTGCATTGAACAAATTAATATGTATTTTGATTTACTTAAAAAACAACAAAAAAAAGTGCTTGTAAATTTCTTAGGGACCTGCCACTTTTGACTGTGGATCAGTTGATGTACACTTGTATTATTAAAGCACTCAATAAAACACTGTGGCTGATAAATGCACTTCTTGCAGGGCGGTGCTTTTGCATTTACGCAGCACAGGCTGCTTAGTCCTCACGTAATACAACTGCAGGTTAAAAAACTATTTTTAGACCTGAACTATTCACTTCTTCCCAACAATGCATTTCTTAACTTAGAATTCTTCTTTGTGTCTTTCTTCATATACAAACATCTTCCAAATTTCAAGACCTTTCTTTCACATGTCTGTGCTCAGCCTTGCTATTCAGAAGCCTCTTGCTGCATCTTTTACACTGTGGCTTCACTAGATCCATCTTGTTACATTTAAAATAGTTGGCAATAAAAATAGCCTTGCAGTGAAAGCAGAATATTGATGTTGATTTTATACAGCAGGCTTCATTTTGCCTTTCTCCGAGCTCTTTGACTGTAAAAGCAAACTGTTATTTAAAAAAAAAAAAAATGAAGGTTTTCGATGGGAAAATTGAGCCCACTGCACCAATCATTCCCAGCACATTCAATGATAAGGGTATTTCTATTCAGATTTGACCTTCAGGCTAATTTTAGATATGCAGCCATGGCGGGAAAACTTCTACTTGGCTAAGGAAATGTGTGGGTGTTGTGATTTAGAAAATATATACTGTGATGCTGATAGCTGGATGTTCTTTGTGTTGCAAGGCATATTGGAAAATCCCTGTCTCATATAATTAAACGTTACAGATGCTATACACACTGCTTGCTTGCCCTCTCCCCTCTCTCCTTGCCTCTTATGTTTAAAGAAGATCTTATCTTAAAGAAGATACATTCCTGCAGGGTCACTCTAAACACACAGGGAGACCGGATCCCATCACACTCCAGCCCAATTCAACCGGCATGAAAACTAAAGCAGTCAAGGTGACACCACAGGGCCTCTACACCCACCACTGCATTGCTCAGCATTTCCAGGCTCTTTTGTTTTTCTCTTGGTCGTTTGCTAATAAACTGAGCAGACATTCAGCTTCAATCTGCTGGTGAGTTGCCCTCTGCATGAAGAAAAGCTGAACGCTGATGTAGTTGTAGGTGGTTTATAACTACCACCCCAAGAACCACAGGGATCTCAAAGAAATAATCAGACTCTCTTGATCAAAGCAAATAAGAGTCTTCTGGTGTCTGTAGAAGCCAAGTGTTTACAAGCCCAGCCATACAACATTTTGAGGCCAATGGGTCCTAAATACAGGCATGAAAGAACAATGGCATTTCAAAAACAAGCAAAGTACAAAACCCAGACTTCTCTGAACCAGACGTTATTACAGTTTCAAAAGCTGTGCACTTTGAATTTGCAGGTAAGTTGCCCTCTCTGTGAAGGGACATTGTCAGCCACATTGTCCTGGATAATATAAAATTACTGCCTTAAGAACCATGAGGATCTCAAAGAAATAATGAGCAAGGACCAACCCACATTGATTAAAGCAGCTGCAGAGTCTTCTGGCATCTGCAGGAGCCAAATCTTTGCAAGTCTGGCCATAAAACATTCTCCTCTGTTTGCAAATCTGCTCTATTTGCCTCCCAAGTAATTACTTTTCTTCATCTGCTAAACCTGGGAAATATGAAGCATTATTTAAAACCTGCTGTTGTTGCTGAGGAGAAATGAGCCATCCCCAACACAATTTAGTCTGCCAGTAGAGGCCCAGTAAAAATGCATTGGCATAATCTCGTTTTCTCCTTTTTTTCTTTTTTCCTGGGTCTAGGAAATAATTGCACTTTATTTTGTCTCACCTTTGCTCTTCAGATCCTCTTTAAATTTAGCTGACTCCTGCTGCTTCTTTTATGATAAACCATCTTTCTCATTTCTTCTAGTTGGTGAAGTCTGTGTTTTCAGAGAGCTGGGTATGAAGATCTTCAAGTGACTTGCACATGCTAAAACATTCAAGAGCATACAGTTGGCCTAAAACCACATGCAAAGGCCATCAGTTCAGCAAACCTCAGTATTTTCTCAGGGACACACAAATGCTAAAGCTGGGGCTTGTTCTTTGAAGACATCTTACAGCTGTTCTGAATTCAACTGCAATATCAAGTAAACAATGTTTAATTTCCAGCAACCCCAGCTAAATGTCACTGTTCCATAGCCTTTGAGTTCAAGTCAGATGAAGCAGAAATCAGGGAACTCTCCGAATTGCATTCCCCATTCATGGATTGCTGAAGTGGTGTTCACATCCCCCTGTCCAACTGACCAGATGATTTCCCTCTTCAGAAAATTGCAGAACAATACATAAATCAAGGTTCCCAAACCCGTCCTGTGTTTTTGGAGATAGCATTTCCAGGCTGCTGCAGGAGTGAGCAGGGCCATAACCCTTTTGATTGCATGCATTGTGGGTGATTGCAGCCAAACAGTTAAAATTCATTACAGCCAGCTGCTGTGCCATGAATAAGGCAGGAGCAATTCCTCTTGAAAGATCTTTGTTCAGGTTTTCATATTGTGGGCTGCAAGTGGATGGGCAGATCCTGTGCCCAAGCAATGGATAGCAGCTCACAGCCCTTCCTCCCTGCTACCCTGTGCAGTGATAGCAGGGGAGTATAAAACACCAGAGGGGTTGGGACCCATAAATCCCTGAACTGCTCCTCCTTCAAGCCTTCTCAACCTTTTAAATTCCTGGGGGCAGTGCATGCTCTGGATGCTTTCAGCTTGTTGGTGCAGTGTGCCTTAATCCCTCTGATTTATTCCCCTCACTCACCCAGTCCTTCTTTCTGGATCCTTTCTTCTGCTTGATGAATTTGTTACTCACAGCTGAGAGGCCACCCAAGACACTGATCCCAGTTCAAATACCTCTTCCTGAAGCTGCCTGAGCATAGTAGTGCCTTCAAGCCCTGAAGCAGATGCCAAGAGCCAGGCCTCTCTCCAGACCCCCTCGTCTGAGGCCATGTCTGTTAGAACAGGAAAGCAGAGGTGGCTCCAGTGGAGCAGGAAGGAGTGCAGCAACTCCCATCTGCTCCAACTCCAGTGGTATCCTGGGGTCCCTTTTCTCCTTTCCAGTTCTCAGAAACTTGTCTCTGAAGATGGACATCTTACCACAGGCCTGCATTTTGAGTTGTAAAATCTATGTAGCAAAGACCCAGTGGAAATTCTGTCACCTCCGAAGTCCAAACATCCAGCCTTAGCAGCCACAGTTCCTGCATAGCCAATTCTCCCTGATGGGTTTTTTTCATTCTCCATTGCTCTTTCTTCTCTTCTGCTTTTCATTCCCTTTCATTTCTCCTCCTATCCTTTCCTCCATGGCATCATCTTGATGTTTCTTTCTCCCTCCTTCCCTTGCCTCAGTCACAGCTCTATTCATGGTCATGAAGACATCACCTCTATAACACTGGAGCTGCTTGAAGTCCCCTGATTTTTAGGTCTTAGAAGCAAGAAAGAGCTTTGTATGGATTAAGTACTTCCTCATTGTGCCACGCCTGGCACTGGCTATAAACTAAATCACTTCTCCCACACACATCATTAGCAGTAATGAAATCCGGGCTGGCCTCCTTAGCATGGCATCCATATGCAAATGAATTTCCTCAGCTCAAAGGATATGCAGAGCCAATGCATGGCTGCTTGGGATGCCTCCAGCAGCCTCTCTCAGGTCACAACTGGAATATATTTGGGGGCTACTACTTACCAGGAAGAGTTTTATGATACCTTTAAATCCATCATTCTGCGCCCTAATTCCATCGTGAACTTTAATAGGGACTTGCAGCTCTCTGGAATAATGGAAAGAGCAAAGCAAAACATCCCTTTCATGTCTACTTTGATTGTGAAGGAAAGTAGCCACGGACTAATGGAAGGTTAAAACAAAGGCAGGGCTACTAAGACACACTAATCCCTTGCCAGTCCTAAATTAGGAAAACCCCACTTCACATAACAGCTGAAAAAAAAAAATAAAATATTAATTTCTATAGACTTCGCAGAGCAAAGTCAAAAAACCTCATTATCTGGGTGTTCTAATAGTTCATGTGGATGATCAGATCATGCATTTCAGGAGAGGTTTTCAAGGGAAATGCATCCACTAGGAAGAGCCTTCCAGCACCTTCATCTCCACACCTTCAGTCAGGCTGCACTGAGGACTCCCTCCTTCACAGTCCCTTGGGAAACAAGGGCTGGAAACAAGAACCTCGGGTCATTCCTTTTTGTCACTGCTCCTCAAATACACTCACTCACAACAGGCATTTGTTGCTGCAGAATCAGTGCTGGGGTCCCCTTTTGTGTCACTGAGGACCTTGGGGTCAGGGAAAACAAAGGGTCACACTTCAGTCTCTGTGAAATGCCTCCTTTCTTTGCAGTTGACTCATAGCCTTTGTAAGGCCCTGAATGGAGCCTCTTCACATGAATGGGGCTCCTACCACACATATTTCAATACAGCCCTGCTCCTTTCTTCACTTGTCATAAACAGGGCAAGGGAAGTGCTTTGCTCACCAGCTTTGGAAACACCTTGCGGATAGCACAGCTGAACTGTGCCCTTGCCCACCTTCAAACTCTTCCATTTGCATTTCTTGGACACCTCTCCATTGTATGAACAATTCTCTAGTAATCACTGCTCAGTGCCAGGGATCTGCAAAAATCCTGCTTCTTTTGTCCTTTAGACCACATGCAACCTTCATCCCTGCTCCTCTCTGCTGCTCCCCATTTCCTAAATCTTCTTCACTCAGGCTTCAGGCACCCAAACCCCTTGTTTAGCCCAGCAAACACCAGTCACCTCTGCTCCAGGCTGCTCACAGCCCAGTGCTGTCTCAGTGTAGTGCTCCAGCATCTCACTGAAGAAGGGAAAATCCACCCCAGCACTAGAGATTGCTGCCATCTTTGCAAAAAGAGAGATGAAAACCTGATTAATTCTCCTTTATGTGGAAGAGAATGTAGTCTTCCTGGTGCTCAGCACTTACACCAAGGGACAAATCCTCCCTCTGCAGATTTGCTGATCTCAGAGTTCTCAACAGCACTCTCCTTTGGTCTTTGAGCATTGCAAGCAGTAGCAAAACAATTTGTATTAAATGCCCTGAATGTTGAAAATCTAATGCAACTTCCCCCAGAAAAATCTGTG